TTCCAAAGAAGATATGTTGAAAATAGCCTCTGGAATTTCACCAATAAGATTAGAATTATTGTCAAAGCGTAATTGCCTCAAATTTGATAGCTTCCCTAATTCTGTAGGAATTTTCCCCTCCATCCAATTGTTGATACAATCAAGATATTGCAGAGTGGAAATATTTCCCAATGAAGTGGGAATAGTCCCTTCTATTGGATTTCCGCCAATGAAGAACATCTCGAGCTTGGATAAACAACCAATATTTCTAGGTATGTCTCCAGATATGTTGTTGAAAGATATGGACAAAACTTGGAGCTCCGTGAGTTGGCATATGTTGGAAGGAATGCAACCAGAAATTTGGTTTTTAGATATACTTAAAAAGTACAGATTCGACACAATATTGCCTTCATTTAGCAAGAGAGGACCAGAAAGGCTATTGAGTGACACAGATACGGCAAGTAGGGACGAGATATTAAACAGTGTTGCTGGAATGGAACCTGTTAATTGATTATCGGCCAAGGATAAAAATGCAATCTGGCTCAGATTACCGACCTCCTTTGGAATGTTGCCGCTGACTCTATTCCCATACAAACTGAAGTTCATCATTTGTGTGGCATTTCCAACAGAAGGAGGAATTATACCCGTGAGGCTATTATTCCTGAGATTTAAGACGCTCAGTTGGGGTACATACCATGGCCCTCTCCACATTTCACCACTGAGTTCATTGAAAGCCAATGAAATTACTTGAACTCTCCTGTGTTGAAATAGACTTGTCGGTATACTTCCGTTGAGCTGGTTGTTTTTAACGTTAATCACTCGCAAGCGAGGCAGTTGGCCAAGTCCATAGGGGATGCCACTGTGGAAGCAGTTGTTCTTGAGATTGAGAACACTGAGAAAGGACAAATTGGCCAACGATGGGGAAATTGTACCTTGTAGTTGCAAATTAGGAAGAGTCAAGGCTATAACCCTTTGCCTTTTTGGAGTACAAGTGACACCAAACCAAGTGCAAAAAGAAGTATTTTTGGTCCAATTATTGGCCAAAAAATGATTGGGAGGTGTAATAAGATTTTGGAAAGCCAGTAAAGCTTGTTGGTCAGTCTCATTCGAGGAAGAAAGTGATACAGAAAATTGAATTAGAAAGAGAAGAATCAATAAGAGAAAATTCTTCTTCATGATTGATTCAAAGCTTGATTTGTTTTCAAATGTATTATAGCAACACTTATGTTGTTGAGTTGACCGAACAATTGGTAGTTGAACGGAGACAACACAAATAACATATATTGGGTCCATTTTAATTTATCTGTCTTATTTTTTATTTTATATTTATATTTAAAAATTACGTAAAAATACTATAAATCATGATAATTAAAACATAAAATATTTCAAAAATGTTGTATGTGGGTAGTCTTATTATGCCTTAAATAGCGTCAAAGAAAGTACACGTTTGTGATAAAAAAAACTTATTCCTTTATCCACGCAAACAATCGCTTCAAAAACTCGGTTATTAGCCCCAAAACATACCATTTATATTATTGGGCAGTGCATGGCACCGCCAACATTATCTAGTTATATATATGGTACAAACCCAAGTCAACCTAAGGGGTCATGCAGTATAAAACAAGTTTGGAAAAAATGGGATTCGGCTCACCTCCAGAGTTGCTTGACCTAAGTTACCATCATAAACCCCACATGCATTTATCATCTTTGGACCAACTAACCTGTAATAGCTCTTTTTTTCTAATGGAGGGTAAATTGGTAATTTAATCCTTCATAATTATAATAATAATTAAAAGATATGGGCCAACTCTATTCTATTATTTATGTTACTCAGTGTGTTGCCTAAGGAATAGAAAGTAGGGTGATGTGTACACAATTTTATTCCTATCTTGTGTTAAAGGTAGAGAGACAGTTTCAAAACATTCAGCTTAAGTAAGACATATCTAAATCGGTAAAAAATTAAAACACAAAAGTGAGGAAACATATAAAAAATAATTTGTTGATGATCATTATATTATTGTCGATTTATTACGTTTTACAAGTAGTTTTCTATTCTTGAGGAAATTTCTATCCGTACTGGGAAGTATCACATTGCGGTAAAACATTCCTTAATGGGGATGACTCTATATTATTCAATTATATCGTACCACTTTATGTGTTGACTTGACAGAGCAATTGGTATTTGCCCAAGTCCTCACGGCATCAACAACAACAACACCCAATGTAATATCACAAGTTTACGAAGTCTTACCTCTGCCTTTATTTCCTATATAGTTCTGTTTCCTTTTCCAAAAGTATTTTATATCTTGCCTTAGTGCTTTTGATTATCTCATTCAAGTTTCTGTTTTTGTTTAAAGTTAAGAATTTCATCCCACTTGTACTTATAAAGAGTATCAATTGATTTGAGAAGGAATTAAGGATTCCCACAAACTTTTATTGCAATGTCATCTCACATTGGCCAACTTTATAAAGGCAAAAACGTATGGATATATATATTGTATGGTCCAGAATCAAGTCGATGGGAGTCTCCACTGTCTAAGATAAGTTTAGAAAAAAACATGTTGTTTGACCTTTTGTTATTGGGGCAGTACAAAATTTATGTGTGAAATTTTACTTATGGTAATAAATAGTGTACATGAACCTATAAATTTTAGTGTAATTTTATAGTGTTAATATAACCTTCTTTATTAAATAATTAGAGGTTATGAACATGAAAGACCTGAGAAGTTATGAATATGAAAGGCCTGAGAGGTTATGAATATGAAAGGTTTGGGAGTTATGAATATTATTAATACTAATTTAAGAATAGAATTTATATAATTGAAGAGGTATAAGTTAAGAAGATGATTTTGCAAGAAAAAAATAATTGAAAGAATTAATAAAAAATGTCAAGAAAAGGAGAAAAAAAATGATGAAAATGATTAGTAAGAAAAAAAATGATGAAAATATATATTTATTTTACAAACGTACTAATCAAGTTAGATGATTTTGATTTTCACAAACTTATTTGTGGGACTGGGGGTATTTCACATTATTGAAATGTCATCACATTGAGGAATTGCGTCATCTAAGGGTTAAGGAAATTGATTGAGAAAAGTCAGTTAACTTAAATTATTTTTAAAAAAATTATATATATAAAAAAAGGTTGTGCATTATATATAGGAAAAATTGTATATAATAGCAAACTATTAATTTAAATTAAATGCTATAAATATACTTTGATTTAATTGTACCCTATAGCAAACTATTGCTATTTTCGCCACTCTCCTTGGTGGAATCTCGCTCGCCACTCTCGTTTGGTGGCAGTCTCGCTCGCCTCTCTCACTTTATACAAAAACGCAAATGTATAAAATGTGTTTGTGTTTGTATAAAGTGAGAGAAAATTGTATATATACATATATTTTCGTTTCCCTCTCTCCCCTCTCCCAGATCTCGCTCACTCACTTGCCTCTCTCACTTTATACAAACAGAAACGAAATGTATAAATTGCACTTCTGTTTGTATAAAGCGAGAGAAAATTGTATAAACACATGCAAATACATATATTTTCGTCCTATACACTTATAATTATATAATACAAATATTTTCCTGCCCGGGTTTTTTTTTGCCTTTCTCTCTTTCTCGTTTTATACACACACAAATTGTACATATGATCTTTTGTATACAACTGCTTTCTTTGTATATGTATAGCGAATTATACAACTGTTTTTTTTTTTTTTTGTATATGTATAGCGAATTATACATATATATGTTTGCTATGAAGCGCAATTATGCAAACTTTGCTATAGCATACAAATATAAATTTTGTGTTTGCTATATGTGAAAGTTGCTCATATATATTGTACAAACCCAAGTCAACCCAAGGGGTCATGCAGTGTAAGACAAGTTTGGAAAAAATGCATGTTGCTTGACCTAAGTTACCATCATAATCCCACATGCATTTATCATCTTTGGACCAACTAACCTGTAATAATACATTTTTTTAATGAAGGGTTAATTGGTAATTTAATCCTATAATAATAATAATAATAATAATGAGAATTAAAAGGTATGGGCCAACTCTATTCTATTATTTCTGTTACTCGTGTTGCCTAAGGAATAGAAAGTAGGGTGATGCATACACAATTTTATTTCTATGTTGTATTAAAGGTAGAGAGACAATTTCGAAACATTCGGCTCAAGTAAAACATATCTAAATCAGTAAAAATTTAAAATATAGAAGTATAATTTCTTGATGATTATTATTATTGTCGATTTATTAAGTTACAAATAGTTTTCTATTCTTGAGGAAATTTCCATTTGTACTGGGAAGTATCACATTGTGGTAAAACATTTCTTAATGGGGACGACTCTATATTATTCAATTATATAGTACCACTTTATGTGTTGACTTGACAGAGCAAATGGTATTTGCCCAAGTCTTCACGGCATCAACAACAACAACAGTCAATAACAATCACAGGCAACTCATGAATCATATGATTTCTGTTGACATCCAATTTTGATTCTCCACAATGTAAATTACTCATCGAGTTTTTCTAATTTCAAACGATTTAAAATAATTAGTTTTATAAAATATAACCCTCCTATTTTAGCTTCTCTGTTTCGAAAAAATAAAAGCATCATTTATTTATTAAATTGTTGGTTAGTATACGTGTTGTTGTGGATTTTAAGTGTTAAAACAGGGCTTAAGTAGTCATTATCTTATTATTAGAATGACTTGGGTCCTTAATACCCTTTGTATTCCTTTATCCAGGTCTATGCCGTTTAGTTCAACCGTGTTATTTGCTTTATATTAGTTTAGGGGCTGCTGTGATGATGTGAAACAAGAAGATAAAAATAAAATAGAAATAAAAAAAAGATAGATAAAAGAGATAAGACACAATTAAATTTAAGCAACTAAGAGATGTAATGGTGAAACTAACCAAAAACACAACTTAATTGAGAAATAAAAGCACCTAATCTATCAGAATCTTCAAGAAAGTAATAACCTTACTTGCAAATTCTAAGACAAAATGTTGAAGTCAACAAAGGGCTTCCAAACTCTCACAAAAGGCATAACCAGAGGCGTATCCACGATTTTGACAATATCGGTGCACGATTACGAAAGAATGCATCTTAAATATAAATTTGACTTTAAAGTTCTTAATATGAACCATTGAACTTTAAAAATTATAGGTGCAAAATATATAATACTACTAGTTTTAAATTTTAATGCACACATTTGATTTAATTATATAAAAAAATTATAGTGCTAAATTTTTTAGGAATTTTCAATGTAACACACTTAAAATTTTTGAAAAATTTAAGGAAAAAAAAAAATTAGTTGAAACGCCAAAAGTGTAACCGATAACCAATTGGAGAGATGCTACTCAAAAAGACAAGATAGATATAAGATTTTAATTTCTATCCTCAATTAGAGAGGTGCACCAATCATCATCGTATTATTATATGATACTTTAAATGTAGGTTCACACATCTATATTTAAATATTTTTCTTAAAATGGAAAAGGGCCTAAAATACCCTCGAAGTATTGGAAATGGTACACAATTACCCCCCATCCACCTTTGGGTCCAAATTTACCCCCTTCATTAACAGAGTACAATTTAAAATAATTAAATAATATTTTTAATTACGTGGCATTCAACCATTGGTTGTAATTTAATTATTTAATATAATTTTAAACCCACCCATTTTAACTTAACCCGCCCCAAATAGTTACTAAACCCGCCCGCCCAACCCAATACAAATGAAACCATCTAATTAAAAAAACCCTAAAACCCAAATAAACACTACATTTCTTCCAATTCATTTCATGATCTACAGAGGGTATAGTAGCTTCCATCCTGATAATTACACTCATCCGTGAAGATCTCAGATTGCAAGGGTATTTTCGTTCACAATTTCGACTTCAACTCAAGTAAGAACTTTTGTGCACTTCGGAATTTCAGTGAGGGTTTAGGTTTTTATTGATTTTACTTGTTTTGAGAATCGATTTCTATTAATGTTAATGCTCCATGTTTTCTATGCTTTTTTGACAATTATTAAGGTGATACAATAGTTTTTTGTGGTGTCTATTTATGTTAGTGTTATGTGTTACTATATTGATTTCGAGTAGGATTTTTATATTGTTGTCTCAAGTTTGTTATTTTCTGTCTTTATTCGTTGTCTATCT